CTCGCGCCCCCCCATGCAAAAGCAAACCCTTCCCACTCCCCCCCGGAAAGGAGCCCCTTCTCTTTGCCACCCCCCCCCCCCCCCCGCTCGGCCTCTCCAGCCAACAGCTCCGTCCCTTTAACCCTCGCAGTGCTGGACAGAAATTTGTTTAACAGTATTTAAACTTCCCGCCCTCTTTCCCCCGGTCCCAGACCCAGGCGGGCGGACCGGTCTCCAGCCAGGCTGCCTCCAGCGACGCCCCCTGCGGCTCGGTGGGGCTCCTCGGGAGTAATCCTACCCTGGGTGGCCCTCCACGGAGTCTCCCCCCCCCTTGTTCCTTGGCTCTCTCCTCTCTTGGATCAGGGGATGGTCCCGACTCGCCCTGCAGGCAGCACCCGCCTTGAGTTCAGTCCCTGCGAGAAAGGCTGACTACAAGGAATGCTGATTAAAAAAATACCGATAGAGATCGGCGCTCTCCACCAATGCTCCCTCTAATCTGTGGAGTCCAGTGAGCAAAAATTCTTGTTTGTGAGCTCCTGGGCATTAAAGTTGGGAGCGAGCGCTTTGGCTGCTGCATGAATTAGTTTGCTCTGGAGCCCCATCCTTCCTGAGCGAAGACAAAAATCGGTGAGCTGGAATCTAAAAAACTGTGAGCTAGCTCACACTCACTCAGCTTAGAGGGAACACTGCTCTCCACTTGCCCGCAGTGGCTCCCTTCTAATCAGGGCTTTTTTTGTAGAAAAAGCCCAGCAGGAACTCATTAGCATAATAAGCCACACCCAACAGCCAAAATCCATTAGCATATTAGGCCACACCCTGAGACCACAGCTCATTAGCATATTAGGCCGCAGCCCCGTGTTGCCAGAAGCCACACCCACCTTTTGCTTCTTATTCTGTTTACCTTGTTTGTTGTCAAAACCCAGGGCCTTTTTTTGTAGCAGGGACTCCTTTGCATGTTAGGCCACACAGGCCTACTGTAGCCAATACTAATGAGTTTCTGCTGTTGGGTGTGGCCTATTATGCTAATAAGTTCCTGTTGGGTGTGGACAACTCCGGAGCCAGCCGGAACTCCTTCCTGTGCATTGCTGCCCCAAAATAGCCCTGCTTCTGAACAGTAACCGGTCAGTCAATGTAAAGTGCAAGAGAGAGAGACCTCCTCTGCACAGGGCGGGAGACCGAGTGGACTTCGCAGCCTCCCGAGGGGCCGGCCGGGGTGTCTTTCCGCACCAGAAGCTGCGGGGCAGAGAAAAGCCAGAAAGAAAGGATTGCAAACTTCCAGGTGGGATCTCCCGGAATGGCAACTGGATCTCCAGTCTACAGAGATCGGTTCTCCTGGAGAAAACGGCAGCTTTGATGAGTGGACTCCCCCTGCCATGATGCCCCACGGAGGGCCTTCCCCTTCTCATAACAGGCTCCCTCCCGAAATTTCCCAACCTGGAGTTTATTTTTATTTATTTTATTTATTAATAAATTTCTATCCCGCCCTCCCTGCTAGGTGGGCTCAGGGCGGCTCACATTCAGCGGCACCATGTGCCGGATCATATAAAACATATAAATACCTAAAAAAGGAATAAAACAATCACATATTTAACAGTTAAAGACTAAAGTTAAAATGCTCCCGGAGATGGCCAGTCCTTCAGTCAGTTAGAGATGGCAAGCTATAAGATGTAAGGCCATGTCCCAGTTCTGCGGTATCCGGTCTCACACGATGCTGTATCTCGATCTCCAAAAAAAGGGTCGGCCTAGGATGTTAAGAATGACAATAGTTGATGGTAGTCGTTGGTAGCAGTGGATGGCTCCTAGCTGAAGGCCTGGTGGAAGAGCTCTGTCTTGCAGGCCCTGTGGAATTGCACAAGGTCCCGCAGGGCCCTGATCTCCTCCAGGAGCTTGTTCCACCAAGTAGGAGCCGCCACTGAAAAGGCCCTGGCCCTGGTGGCGGAGAGCCTGGCCTCCTTAGGGCCTAGAATCATTAGGCGGACCGTAGCGCTCTCTGGGGTATATGTGGGGAAAGGCGGTCCCTCAGGTATGCCGGACCCTGGCCATTTAGGGCTTTAAAGGTCAATACCAGCACCTTGAAGCAATTTGGTATGCTATTGGCAGCCAGTGCAGTGCTTTCAGCACAGGCCCAATGTGTTCCCATCTAAGGAGACCCATCAGAAGCCTAGCCGTGGCATTCTGCACTAACTGCAGCTTACGGATTAGCAACAGCAACAAGGGCAGCCCCATGTAGTGAGTGTTACAGTAGTCTAATCTCGAGGTGACCATTGCATGGATCCCTGTAGCCTGGTCGTCGCGGTCAAGGAAAGGAACCAACTGCCGGATCAGCCGAAGATGGTAAAAGGCCAACTTGGCAGTGGCTGCTACCTGGGCCTCCATAGTTAAGGAGGGATCCAGGAGCACTCCCAAACTCCTCGCCTCCAGCGCTGGCACCAATGGAGCCCCGTCGAAGGTTGGGCGTGGGATCCCCATCCCCAAGCCACCTCGACTCAGGCACAGGACCTCCGTCTTAGCCGGGTTCAGCTTCAGTCGGCTCAGTCTAAGCCAACCAGCCACGGCTTGCAATGCCAGGTCCAGATCTTACGGGCTGGAGTCTGTCCGGCCGCCCAACATCAGATAGAGCTGGGTGTCATCAGCGTACTGATGACACCCCAGCCCATACCTCCGGGCGATCTGGGCAAGGGGGCGCATGTAGATGTTAGACAACATCGGGGAAAGCACCACCCCTTGAGGCACACCGCACTCGAGTGGGTGCCTCCTGGATTGCTGCTCCCCTAGCGCCACCCTTTGTCCCCGACCCCGGAGAAAAGAAGCAAGCCATTGCAAGGCGAGCCCCTGTATCCCCACATTGGCGAGGCGGTGGGTCAGCAACTGGTGGTCCACCGTGTCGAACGCAGCTGACAGGTCTAACAACAACAGTACTGCCGAACCGCCCCGATCCAGGTGCCTCTGGAGGTCGTGAGTAAGGGCAACCAGTGCTGTCTAAGATGGAAGCGTCATCCAGAAAGGTCTGTATTGCCACCGCCCACTCGATTAATTTGCCCAAATAGGGATAATGGAAACTGGCTGATAGTTGGCCAATTCAGTCGGATCCAGAGTTGGTTTTTTCAAGAGAGGGCGGACCATTGCTTCCTTGTGCCCCCAGGAACCGCCCCTCAGAGAGGGACGTGTTGACAGTCTCCCTAAGGGCACCTCGGAATCCCTCGTGGCCCGCTTTAATGAGCCAGGAAGGGCACGGGTCAAGGCTGCATGTGGTTGGGCATGAGCAATATGTCAACTTCCTTCAGGCTGAGCGGACTGAAACAATCCAGACCCGGACTCGAAAACATGCAAGGGGCCTCGAGTTCGCTGTTTCAACTATGGCGGGGAGGTCACAGCGGAGCTCCTGTGTGAGATCAGGCCTTGTGGGACTTATTACAATTCCACAGGACCTGCAAGACAGAGCTCTTCCACCAGGCCTTTGGTTGAGGCAGAGGGCGTCCCCTCTCTTTGGGTCGGCCCCCCCATTTACAGCTGGGCCTGAGATCCCAAATTTTATATCAACCACTGAGGTATCTGGCTTCTCACTAGAGCTGTATATCAACGACTGATAGATAGATATCTATCAACCCTGACTGTTCCCTAAAAGGCCAGATAATGAAACTGAAGCTCAAAGACTTTGGCCACCCAATGAGAAGGGAGCCCTCACTGGAGAAGACCCTGATGCTGAGAAAGATTGAAGGTCGAAGAAGACGGGGATGGCAAAGGATGAGATGGTTAGACAGTGTCATCGATGCAACGAACATGAAGTTGAGCCAACGTCAGAGGACAGCGGAAAACCGGAAGGCCTGGCGGGAGCTGGTCCATGGGGTCGCGAAGAGTCGGACTCGACTGTGCGACTGAACAACAACAACTCCCCACCTTCCCGCAGCTGCTCCCTGCTGATCCGTAACCGGTCAGTCAAGATAAAGTGCAAGAGAGCGAGACCTCCTCTGCACAGGGCGGGAGACCGAGTGGACTTCGCAGCCTCCCGAGGGGCCGGCCGGGGTGTCTTTCCGCACCAGAAGCTGCGGGGCAGAGAAAAGCCAGAAAGAGAGGATTGCAAATGTCCAGGTGGGATCTCCAGAGTTCAGAGATGGATTCTCCTGGGGGGAAAGTGGCAGCTGTGGGGAGTGGACTCCCCCTGGCATGATGCCCCACAGGGGGCCTCCCCCTTCTCAAAACCCAGGCCCCACCCCCAAATGTCCAGGAATTATTTCCCAACCTGGAGTTGGCAACCCTACACACAGCAGAGGCCTCCTGCGTTCTTCCCTGCATCCCTCCCTGAGGGGGGGTCCTCCCCTGACCGGAGCACAGCGGCTCCTTCAGCACCACCCCGAAGAAGGTCCAGTGCAGGATATTTGGGAATGGTGCTGTTCCACTGCCTGTGAGGGAGTCGCGGGACAACGTGAGAATCCACAAACACTTTCCACCCTGACACGAGACTTCCCCAAGCGCATGAAGGGAGCACAGAGCCTCCGCTTGAAATCCCGCTCTTCTCCCTCGCTTGCTCCCCATTTTGTGTGGGGGTGGAAGGGGCCATCAAGTCGCAGCTGCCCCGTAGCCACCCCAGAGTTCTCGAGACAGGAGACAGTTCAGAGGTGACCAAAATTGGAAGGTATTTTCTTTATACTGAATCTGACTCTGTTAAATTGAGTTTATTTTGCATTGTGGCACAAGTCAATATTAAAAAAACTCTCCCCATATTGTTTATTTCTAGACACACAAGAGCAACACCAATCAACTTGTGTGCATCTTCATTTGACACACACGGCTGGATCCTGGGAGGCCTCACGTTAAATATATCCCTTCTGTCTTTTGATTTCTTTTTTGATGTAAGTGCAATAAATCTGGCTTGATAAAATTATTTTTTCAATAATATATATCATTATTAGACACAGCATTTTAAATTGGTATTGAAATATTATTTTCTTCCTTCACAGCTCTCCTGTTTTGGTGCTATTATCTACTTGTGCGTTGTCTTTTGATTGTAATAGGAGTCTATTTGGACCTTAGAATCAAAGAATGATAGAGTTGGAAGGGATCTCCAGGGTCATCTAGTCCCCCCCCCCATGACCCCTCTGAAGAAGGCCCGATTGGGTCGAAACACTGTAGGTCGCTATTCTTTTCTTTTGGACATATGTAACTTTTTACTATATTATAAGGCTTGTGTTGGGCCCTGATATGCTTTTAATGTCTTTGTAATAAATACATCTTTTTAATGTACAATTAGTTCATATTTAGTTTTAGCTTTTGTCCCTGCATTTGCTTTCACACAGTAGCTAACCAGTTCCTCTGGAGGGCCAACAACAGGGCAGAGAGGCTGAGACCTTCCCCTGAGGTTGTCCTCCTGGCTCTGGGATTCAGAGGATCAGTGCCTCTGCATGTGGAGGTTCCCCCCAGTCACCAGAGCTAGTAGCCATTGATAGACTTCCATGAATCCATCTAATCCTCTTTTAAACCTAGTTTGGTGTAGTGGTTAGGAGCGCAGGCGCTAATCTGGGAGAACCGGGTTTGATTCCATACTCCTCCACATGCAGCTGCTGGTGTGACCTTCTTGGGTCAGTTACAAGCTCTTTCAGAGCTGTCCTTGAAAGAGCAGTTCTCAAAAGAGATCTCTCAGGCAAGCCATAGTTTTGGCACAGCTATCCTTGGCCTCATCAAACATTGGCTTCCCTTATGTTCTGATTCTCAGGTGTCACAGACATACTGCTTTTGGGGGGAATATCTGAGTGCTTATGACTTAAGGCAGCCATGCACGGGTAGCTGTACAGTTAGCTAGACAATCTTTTTTCTCCCCCCCCCCAAAAAAAAGGGGAGAGTTCTGGCCAGAATTAATTCTCCCTACTGAAGAATAAAGAGAAACTGAAGCAATGTGGTCTCTTAAGATTCTATTTACAAATAGCAGAAAAGAGAACAAGCATGAAGAGGAAAATAATAGCCGTCTCCCTTAGGCACTCATTTGGAGGGAAGCTCTCTGCCTCCCTCCAGAATTGAGCCCCTCTTTGGAAACTGAAGCCCATGCACAATCTCCAATCATCAAGCATCGTTTTGGCTTCTGAGATGGCAAATGGTGCGTGAAGAATCCCAGCACAGCCAGGCGCTCTGCCACTGAAAGGAGGCACTGATAGCTGACACGGATAGCTGACTCCAAGAAGCCCTGCTCTTGAGCAACAACACCGATAGCTGTTTCCCACAAAGCACAGTCCATGGGCTAGCCAATTCACAGAGAAGCTGAGGAAGGGTGTCAGAATGTGCGGATTTCCAAAGGCTCTCAGTGTTTATTTATTAAACGTTAATATCCGGCATTTCTTCTTGGTTCAAGGGAGCTTTGAACGATAGTTAAACACCCACAACGAAAGCCAAGATCAAAGAAGAAGCCCCAAATCCGTCCCCCCTCCCCTCTTAGAAGACACCTGCTATTCAGCCCCCCTCGAAGCCCCGGGCAATGAACAGACTGGGATCACGGCCACACAAGGGTACAGAGAAATGACAACACCGTGTACAAAATAACAACTAGTACAAGTAAAGGTTTTTCAAAGACTATGTGTAAACATTGTACTGAATAAAGTATATACTAGGTTTATATCTCTAATTTACAATATCAATATGAACGGATATACAACACTCTAATACAGGGATGTCGAACTCATTTGTTACAAGGGCCGGATCTGACATAAAGGGGACTTTGTGGGGGCCAGGCCACGCGTGTCATAGAATGTAGCGAAGGTATTAACTTTATAAAAGATACAAACACAGTTAAAGATATTATTTTTACTTAAAGTACAAATATGCTTAAAACTCTTGTGATAAATTTAACAGTCTTTGATAACTGACACCTCCCAAACCTCCCCGCCCTAAAAGATGCCTGCCTAAAATGGAAAGGTGGGGGAACAGTGGGATTTTGCAATGCAATTTTAAAAAGTAAAACATTAAGAAAAAGCACAGGGATCACAGCAGAAACTAAAAATATAAAATGCTCTGAGCCTAGAAACATAAAATGGCTGGGCATTGCAAGCTTTTCTCCCCTCCCCCCCAGGTATACTCAGCGTGGCAGTGGATCCCCAGTATAATGTCTGCCTTTGGCTGTGGGTTCCCAGGTTAGAATACTCACTAAGGCACCCCGTTCTCAGGTCCATTCGGCAGACATAAGCTGGCTCAAACCATCAACCCTGTATTTGCAAGGAGACAACTCCAGCAAGCAACAGCTTCAGCTATACCAACAGTGGAAAGTGACAACTACTCATTATAGTACATTGTAGCACAAAGTTGGAAAAGAAATGCACAATGGATTTCCCATTAAGGTATCTGGGCCCAGAGAGACTACTCTGGGACTGCAATGACAGCCACCTGAGTGAAATGACAGTCCCTTGGAGTAGCAGAAGCGTTCTGGGATTGGAATGAGGGCCCCCAGAGTGGAATTCCATTCCCAGAATGCTGCTGCTGCTACTCCCAGGGGCTGTCATTCCACTCTGTACCCTGTCATTCCAGTCCCAGAATACTGATTCTATTGCTAGGGACCGTCATTCTACTTTGGAGGCTGTCATTCCAGTCCCAGACCATGTCTGTTTCTATTATGGGAAACAGTCCCAGAGCAGTCTATCTGGGTGGGGGGGAGACGAGGGGGTAAGAAAAGAGCCGTGGGCCTGATTAAAGCCATGGGCGGGCCGCTTCCGGCCCATGGGCCTTAGGTTCGACACCCCTGCTCTAATACTTCATATAAACAATCTAACACAGAAATAAGCCCATCTCGAAAAGATTCAAACACAAAGTCCCCCATAATTATTCTGATATCCAAAGGAGGATAATCCGTTAGTATAGAGTTCATTAAGGTCCAAACTTCTCCTTTCACCTCCTAAATCAGGATGTGTCTCTCATGTGTTTTAAAAGTGGATATAGTGTTCTTACTAGATGACTCTATGAATTCTCAGAAATAGTCCTCAGTTCCACAGCTGTATTCAATAAACCAACAAAGACGAAGACTCTCTAAAAGGGACACACACCATTTTATACACACACACGCATATACAGAATCAGCTGATAGATAATGTCTACCAAAGCATACCTCACAATATCACTTGTAGAGATACAATCTATAGGAAAATGTTTACAATAAAATGTATATCACAGAACTTGAAAAAACATGTCAGTCATCATAAAACTGAAGATGTCTGAAGATATCTCAGTTAAACTTAATTGATCCAATCCTAACCAAACCAATTGCTTGGTGGTATAGTTTAATGTCAGGTACTGCTAACCCCCAAAGTACTTGAGCATTTGTTCCTCTATTCATCTAAGTGTAATCATGCCAAAACAGTGTGCCTATTGCTGTTAAAGAGTCACATGATATTGGATGCTGGAGGAGCCACCTTACATTTATTTGTTTCTGAGTCCATCAGAGTCTTCATATATTAATCGGTATCAACTGAAAAAGAAAATTTATTTTGGCAAACCATTCATTTTTACTGCAGGGATTCTTCCCAGCCATGATCATTTTAGTTTGGACCATCTTTCCAAATCGTTTTGTATCTTCATCCAAACAAACGTTGGTTTGATTGAGGCTTTTCCTCAATTAATGGAGCTATTCAGGTTTATCTGTTGGAGTCTGAAGGCTGGAAAGGCGAGGCACGCTTTCTGCCTCTCTGGTGGGTTGCCGTGTTACTCTGTAGAAGCAGAGCAGAATTCAAGTCCAGGAGGTCATTCAAGACCACGCATGTTTTCCAGGGTTTAAGTGCTCATGAGTTAAAGCTCACTTTCTCAGATAGGCCAAAAAGTGCCATATGGAGTCAGGATGCAGAGGTGCCATAAAGTCTGATGGATCTTCGTTCTCATTTCTGCCTGACCAAATGAGCTTTGACCTGTGAAAGCTTCTACCCTGGGAAATTTCCTTGGTCTTTCAGATGCTACCTCTCCGCCTTTCCATTTCCTTTGGGAAGTCCTTTTACCTTATTAGGGTGGTGAGAATGGAGCTGGGTCTGCTTGGAAGCAAAAAGGGGCATGTGGCCTTCTTTCACTCTGCTGGGCCCTGACTCTGAGCATTCAAGAGGTTTCTCCCCTGTGTGGGTTCTTTGATGCTTTTGAAGATTGGAATCCTGACTGAATCTCTTTCCACACTCTGAGCATTCAAAAGGTTTCTCCCCTGTGTGGGTTCTTTGGTGCACTTGAAGAGTGGCATTCCGAATGAATCTCTTTCCACACTCTGAGCATTCAAAAGGTTTCTCCCCTGTGTGGGTTCTTTGATGCTTTTGAAGATTGGAATTCTGACTGAATCTCTTTCCACACTCTGAGCATTCAAAAGGTTTCTCCCCTGTGTGGGTTCTTTGGTGCACTTGAAGATGGGTACTCTGACTGAATCTCTTTCCACATTGTGAGCACTCAAAAGGTTTCTCCCCTGTGTGGGTTCTTTGATGCCCTCGAAGATTGGAACTGCTATTGAATCTCTTTCCACACTCTGAGCATTCAAAAGGTTTTTCCCCTGTGTGGGTTCTGTGATGCTTTTGAAGACTGTCACAATGACTAAATCTCTTTCCACACTCTGAGCATTCAAAAGGTTTCTCCCCTGTGTGGGTTCTTTGGTGCACTTGAAGAGTACCATTCTGAATGAATCTCTTTCCACACTCTGAGCATTGAAAAGGTTTCTCCCCTCTGTGGATTCTTTGATGGTTTTGAAGACTGCAATACCTACTGTATCTCTTTCCACACTCTGAGCATTGAAAAGGTTTTTCCCCTGAGTGACGTCTTTGATGGTTTTGTAGACTGGAATTCATTCTGAATTTCTTTCCACACTCTGAGCATTCAAAAAGCTTCTGTGCTGCATGTATTTTTTGATGTACAAGAAGCTGTGGTCTGCATCTGAAGTCCTTTCCACAGTAACAACATTTACATGCCTTCTTTTTAATGTGGTTTGGAAAAAATACATTACCCTTTCTTCCACTGCAGAATGCCATTCCACTCTTGGGACAGATAAATGTCTTTACTCCTGAATGAGTCTGTTGAAGATGGTTGCAGACTGGGATTTCATGGCAGCCCCCTTCTTGGCAGGGAATGGACTTAACCCGTCTCTTCACCGTACGGCTTCCTTCCTGCCTCTCTGGTCCACCTCTATTCTCAAAGTTTCCTTTGGCTTGTTCATTCTGGTTTTTTTCCAGTGAGAACCCTTGAAATTCCCCAATGGGCTCGACATCTCCTGCTGGAATAAAGAAGGAGGTCAAATCACCACTCACACAAGGAGCCAAGCCACCAATCAGCAACTCCTGAATAATGAGTGTGCATTTTATCTCCTGAGCCACTGGTCACAACCAGTGTTCCCTCTAAGCTGAGTTAGTGTGAGTTAGCTCACAGTTTTTTAGCCTCCGGCTCACACATTTTGGTCTTAGCTCAGGAACGATGGCTCCAGAGCAAACAAATTTATGCAGCAGCCAAAATCTCCTGCTCACAACTTTAATGCCAGTAGCTCACAAATTAGACTTTTTGCTCACAGGGCTCCACAGCTTAGAGGGAACATTGGTCACAACTTTTCCCTGGCCAGCTCTACAGTAGAGCTCTATATTCTGTCTATCCCTCTCCTCCCCAGAACTCCCTAAATCAACTTTAAGGGAAAAGGTAGCAAAGATCTGTTGCTCTGCCTTTCCCATTTGCCTTGCCATGCAGGTCCTTTGATGATGAAATACAAAAAATGATCGTGATTTCTAGTCCTCGGATTGTATAGAGAGTTTGCTTCCAGGTGTGATGAGAGAGAAGAGGAGCTCGTCCCCAGACTCCGATAACATGTCTGCTAGGGTAGGGGAGAAGTCGGGACTTCAGAAGAGAAGAAGAAGAAGAGATTGGATTTATACCCCACCCTTCACTTGGAGTCTCAGAGCCGCTTACAAACTCCTTTCCCTTCCCTTCCCCACAACCGACACCCTGTGAGGTAGGTGGGGCTGAGAGAGCTCTTGACAGAAACTGCTCTTTTTCAAGGACAGCTCTTATTAGAACTACGGCTTGCCCAAGGTTATCCAGCAGCTGCAAGTGGAGGAGTGGGGAATCAAACCTGGTTCTCCCAGATTAGAGTCCGCGCACTTAACCACTACACCAAACTGGCCCTCAGCAAGCAAACCCCATAGTTCTAAGGGAACTCCCATAGGAATACCAGTTGTTGGGGGAGAGAGGGAGGGGAGGCCTGGAGACATTCAACTGACCAGAACAGGAATAGGTTGACAGGGGTCTGACTCATTCAGCGAAGCTGTTCTTAAGTAAATACCTCATCTTTCCCTGTGTGGAAATGGCAGAGATGTTTTGATGTAATTACATGCTGATTTTGACCCCCAATATACCCGTAATGACTGCAAGTATTGATGGTTTGATCTCCTTTATTAAGAACTAGCAGTAAAGCCCGTTGTGAAAGCAATACAACGAGATCTAGAAAGAGGCTCTGGGGGAGTGCTCTGGCTTTGGGCAAACAGTGTCAATTTGCTGTGGTGACCTCAGCAGGGTATAATGACAGAGTCCACTGTTTTCTCCAGAGGAACTGATCTCTGCTACCTGAAGAGCAGTTGTAATTGTGAGTGATCTGTAGCCCTCACCTGGAGATCGGCAGCAATTGTTACCCAGGACAAAATGGCTGGTTTGGAGGGTGGAGTTGGCAACCCCATCTCCTTCCCAGCTAACCATCAACCTACCATTATCTGCCCCTTTGACTTCAGCTGACTTCTGCCCTCCCTTCTGCAGAGCAGTTGTAATTCTGAGTGCTCTCCAGCCCTCACCTGGAGATTGGCAACAATGGTGCCCTATGTGGGACTGATTGGTTTGGTGGGTGGAGTCTATGGCATTGTACCTGTCTGAGGTCCCACCCCTCCTCAAACCTCACCCTCTTCAGGCTCCATCCCTCAAATCTCCAGGAATTTCCCATCTGGAGTTGGCAACCCTATCAGGACTGGCCCCAATGTGTTTTCTCCCAAAGGCCAAAGTAGGTGACAGGACCAAGCTTAGTTGCCTACCAACAGGCACTGAGGGGAATGTAGGGTTGCCAGCTCTAAGGAGGGAAATACCTGGAGGTTTGGGGGGTGGATTCTGTAGAGGGCAGCATTGGGCGGGGGGGGGCGGAAGGACTCAGCAGGTATAATGTCATAGGGTCTACCCTCCTAAAGCAGTCATTTTCTCTAGGGGAACTGATCTCTGTCATCTGGAGATCAATTGTAGCAGTGGGAGATCTCCAGGTCCCACCTGGAGATTGGCAACCCTAGGGGAAAGTCAGCTGCACAGCAGGGGGTTGAAGAGAATGGTTTGATGGCTGCTGGGCCAAGATTGGCAACAATAGTTCCCCAGGATCCCCATCGTAAATGCACCAAACAATTCCTCAAGATTTTCCAAAACACTACTCTGTTGATAAATTGCAACACTTTGAATTAGCACCAAAGCTTTAAGAGCTCTCCAGCTGTCACCTGGAGACTGGCAACAGCTTGTCTGGAGTGTGGGCAGTATGGCATTGTATCTGTCTGAGGTCCCCCTCTTCCTCCTCCTCCTCAGACCCCACCCTCAGCAGGCTTCATCCCTAAAATATCCTGGAAGTTTCCAACCTGGAGTTGGCAACCCTATGTCCTGGAGTTCGAACCTGGAGTTGGCAACCATCAGCCAACGTTTATCTGCCTGTCTGTCTTTACAACCCCCCCCCACACACACACACACAGCCTCTGCCTAGGGAGCAGCTGACATCATTCTCCTCTCCCAACTGAAAATTCCAACTGCCTTGCGGGGGGGGGGAGGAGTTTGAGGTGTGGAATGGAGTGAAGTCCAATCAGCTTCCATATGCAAATAACCTTGGAACGCTGGGCGGGACTGCACAAAGCAGCCAGTCAACCCAGCCAGTGTCTTCTGAGTGGCAGTGGGGGGGGGGGGAGTTTGAGGTGTGGAATGGAGTGAAGTCCAATCAACTTCCACATGCAAATGACCTTGAAACGCTGGGCGGGACTGCACAAAGCAGCCAGTCAACCCAGCCAGTGTCTTCTGAGTGGCAGTTCTTCCGGCCAAACACTAAAGGGGCCAAATTTAGAACGTTGCGATATAGAACGTTGCTATTCAATTATAATAAGGGAGAGATGTGTTAACTGAAGTAAACACATTCCTTTTCTGTCTCCAGTAGAAGCAGCTGCATGTCACCTCCCCAAGCTAACAAGCATTGTGTGTAGTGTTAATGAAGAATGGCCCTGGTCACACGGGCCAAATAACGCGGGGGTGAGGTGTGGCCGTTTGCCCCGGAACAAAGTAAAGCGCGGCAGCCCGATCACACGTCCCGTGGAGTTCCCGTGGTTACGCCATTAGGTGCCGATCACACGGCTATCCTGAAGCGCGACAAAGAAGCAAAGTTGCTAAGAAGTGAAGCAGAAATCTGCCACGGCTATTCTTTGCCCATTCCCTTGACATAAAGATGAAGCAGACTCACTCGCGGCCAGTTCACTCGGGAAGGAAATAGTCTGTTGAGACCCTCTTGAGACAATCTCCAGCCCTTCGTCCGTCTCCACTGTAGTCTCTCGCACATCCATGCCTTCTTTGGGAGAGAGAGAAAGAAAAGAGGAGGATGCGTGACCCAAGGCCTTTGCCCGTCTCCACCTTGTCAGCATGTGCTGCAAGCAAGACATCAGTTGGTGACCAGGAGGATCTGACAGTTCCTAACTGCCACTTCAGCTGGACTAAACTGGTTCGGTCCAGTGCTGGAAGTCTAAGTCAGAGTGACTCAGCACTGATAGCTGATTGGTGGAGGGTATGTATATAAGTGATCATGTATTGTACAGTTTATTCTCTGCTTATGGATGTGTGGATGGTGAAGCACTTTGTCAGTGCGTACCAGCATCTTCTCTGTTGTGTAAATAAACTTGTAAATAACTTTTACACAAGGCTGTGTGGACAGTTGCCTCTTTGGATATTACTCACTACCCCAGAATTCACCGCACGCGACACCAACACACCTCAGGCCGTGACACCCACCCTGCCTCTCACTGCTGGCCACAGTCATGGCCGCAGTGGCCCCTGGACCAGTCGGGTGTGTTGGCTGCTTTCACGGCCATGTCAACTACTGGAATCGTCCACAGGGTCTTAAGTACAGGGCCAGGCCCCACAATGACACGCTGCTCTTCGATAGTTTGATACACACAACATCACAATGGCGGCAATTCACACCTTTGGCACCTAAGGAAGATCCTTACCCAGAGAGGCCACACTCCTATAGTTCTCCAGCATGACTTCCCAGTAGAGCACTCTTTGGCCTGGATCCAGCAGGGCCCACTCGGCCACGGTGAAATACACGGCCACCTCCTCAAAGGAAAATGGACACTGAAAGAAAAAGCAGACATCCTCATCAGAGATTGGGCCAGGCAAGACCGCACCCAGGGAACGGGCATCCTGGTGGGGTGGAGGATGGAGAGGTTGGCGGGGGAAGAGGGCATGGCGTTCAGAGGCTCTCCTGCTCAGACACCTGAGAAGCCACTGCAGGAGAAAAAATCCCCCCTGAGAAACGAGGGGGAACTCAGGCGGACCCTTGCTCAACTCCCCTACCTGGACTGCAGGGGCAGCAGCCGTTTCCGCTCCTCCACAAAGACGACGACTCAACACTGTCTCTTCGCTGCCTGGGAGGGAGAGAACATTGGAAGAAAGGGTTGAAGCCAAGACTTCGAATTTTCTTTGCTTGTGCGTATCCTGCTTCATGCACCCCTCTTCCCAGGACTGTGAAACCTTGCCCTGTCTACACTCAACAAAATGTGTAACAATATTGAGTAAACTTGAGGGAGAGGTGGAGGAGAAGTTCCTGGTTCCTATGAGCCTCGGGGGTGGGGGTGGGGGGTAAAAACCCTGCCAACACAGTTCAGACTTCTCTGCCTCTTGAAATTTATCCTGTGAATTCCAAAGCTCAAAACGGTGGCAGCATCCCTGCTCGGTCAGACCAAAGGCGGCCAGGCGTACCATTCTCCCGCTGGCTGGTCCCTCCCACGTGCCTTTGAGTTCAGGCTTCCGGGAGAAGGGTGTGTGTGTGTGAAGAAATGAGGTCAAATGATACATCACATTTGCATCTGTCCAAAAACCCAGAGGTGACATTACCACACCTGAGAACTCAAGGGTAATATCAAGCGGTTTCGAGAGCGTCTGCTGATGCTCTGACGTCACGTCTAGATTCTCAGCAGGATGAGACATCACTGTGACATCACATCCACCCCTGGCCCCACCTCCAAAGCTCCCAGCGGTGCCAGGTCAACTTTTTTTTTTGAGCCACCCTGAGTCCCTCTAATGGAAGATACATGAGATAGGATTTTTAATAACTTGTGTGTTTGTGCACCTGGAAGTCATGGCGACCTCTGGTGACTGACCCCTACTGGGGGTCTGGAGGACATTCAGAGAGGTGGCTGAATAAAGCCTGCCCCCACCTCCTGCCTCCGGTATTTCAAGGAGGTCTCCCATCCAAGTACTTGCCAGAGTTGACCCTGCTTAGCTTCCGAGATCTGACCTGCCTGGGCTATCCAGGTCAGGGCATGAGATAGGAAAATATTAGTTAACATGTGAAATTCACTCCTGCAGGAAGTAGTGGCGGCTACAAGCACAGAGAGCTTCAAGAGGACTGGATAAACATCTGGAGCAGAGGTCCATGAGTGGTTATTAGCCACAAGGTATAGATGGAAATCTATGTGTAGGGCAGTGAATCTCTGTATTCTTGGTACTTGTGGGGTGGGAGGGGTTTAGGAGCTCTGGCCCTGCTGGTGGACCTCTTGATGGCACCTGGCCTTGGGCCACTGTGCGGCGCAGAGTCTTGGATCAGATGGGCCACTGGCCTGATCCAGCATGACTTCTCTTATATTCTCCTGTGTTCCTATGAGAAGGGAATTGCCCTCCATGAATCTGTATAATTCCCCCTTCAAGTCAATGGCCACCATTACATCCCATGGCACTGAGTCGCAGCAGTCCACTCTGTGTGGTGTGCAGAAACATTTCTTTTTCCTCCTGTCCTGAACCTTCTGCCTGACAACTTCACAATGTGCCAAAACCTGGGCACAAGAGACTCTTACCATGTGAGAGGGCATCTTGGGTATGGGCCTGCACCTTCGGCTCCTCCTCCAAAGGAGGTCCTTCCTCCTCAGAGAACTTCACTTCCGTCTTCACAGCCGGTCCCCACATCTGAAACAGCAGAAAGGGATACAGGTAAGAGGAGGAATGTGAAAGACCAAGGAGACGAATCTTGCCCCTGCCCATCCTCACCCCTGCATCAATCAACACAGCTGCTTCAACCACAGAGGCAAGAACCAGGGTTGCGGTTTTCTATCAGCCCTGGTGAAGTGTCTGGAGGGACCGATTTTGGGCAGGGAGGCCTTAAGCCAGGGGTGTCAAACATGTGGTCTGCGGGCCAGATCAGGCCCTCGGAGTGCCCCAATCAGGCCCGCAAGGACCTGGATGTTTCATACTTCCATTTGTAGTTCTGCTGTTGCTGCCATGTTACAGCTTGCTTTACCAGTCTCTCTCAATCACACAGGAGAGACAGATAGGCAAGGCTCTCCTCTGCGATTGAGAGAGTCTGGTAAAGAACTGGCTGAGGCTCCTCCCCCTCCCAGGGGGAGGGAGGGAATACCCAGAGCTCGCTTCCTGGCCAGGCTGCAGGAGACAAAGGGAAGCCTTTCTTTCCTTCCACTGGCTGAGGTTCCTCTCTGAAGGGAGGGAGGGAATGAGGGAGAGTTTGCTTTGTTGGGCTGCCTCAGTTGCATGAGAGAAATACCAAGCACCCTTAAGACCAACAAAGTTTTGTTCATGGTATGAGCTTTTTATTTATTTATTTATTCGATTTGATATACCGCCCTAACCCCCTTGGGGGTCTCTGGGCGGTTTACATGGGGAGGTGCTAATCACATTTTATACCCTAACTTAGGCCACATTGTTTTCTGGGGGGTGGGACAGCCTACCGGCACCCAGGTGGACGCTGATGTCCTTCGGTCCGGCTGGCTTCATTCCTGGCAGTCTGCTGGCTTAGGTGTTCTCTTCTGGCGCTTGGCGGTCCGGCACGCAATCAACGTCCTCCTCCGGACCCGGCTGCGTCCCTCAGGCTCCGCCGTGCCCGTGGATGACGTCATCGCGCGCCTCCGCTGCACGACAGCCGCCTGCTGTTCCTGCTGCTGGGCACCAGGGATCACTCCTCCGGTCCTGCTGCTACCGCTTGCTGCCGCCGCGCCACGCCAAGTCACCTCCACCGCTGGTATTCCGCCATTGCCGCCGCCGCCTTCCACACGCCTCGACAGAGGAGGGTGCCCCCCACCCTTCTAAGGGTAGGTACCCATTTATCTACTCGCATTAGTTACGTCTGCTTTCGAACCGCTGCGTGGGCGGGAGCTAGGACTAGGGTCGAGAGCTCACCTCGACCGCGGTGGGTCTCGAACAGCCATAGTGGCTGCTCGAGTGTTGTTGAGGCAGGCATTTTACTGCCTGCGCCACCGCTCCCTAGGTGTGTGCCTTGCTTTTGTGTGCCTTGCTACAGTGTGTGTGTGTTTTGTTGGGCTTTTTATGCCAGGGCTCTCCTGGGTGCAACTGGGTTCCCTCCCCTTTTCTCCTTTATTCATGCCCTCATGATCCAGACTTTCTCAGTAAGAAAGCAATGTGAACTATTTTAGAGAAGAAATAACAACAACCCAGTGAGGTGGATTAGATTGAGTGTGTGAGTCCAGACCAAGTTCACCACCTTTGTAGGAAGTTGTAGTTATTTCTCTGGGGAAGAGTATAGTTTTGCAGACAAAAACATGGCCCTCAGTTTGTGACCAGCACATGAAGCAACTTATGTACAAAAGCTCGCAATGCCCAGCCATTTTATGTTTTCCCCTGGGTCCTAGGCTAGGAACACTGAGCATGAGATTTTTGTAATAAATGTCAATAAATCAGAAGTAGGTTTGCAGCTTACAGATACACACCTGAACAGCATACTCAAGATTTCTACTGCACAGACATTTTGATACAATAATTCAGAGCAGAGATGTCACTTATCAGAGACTGTTAAATAGACAAAATATTGCAAGACTGCTAGGGTTTAATCATGTTTTCTTTAAAGTTTTAAAAAATCTTTAATTGTGTTTGTCTGTGTCCTTTTTAAAGTTTATCTCTCCACTACCTGGCATTACATTTTATGACACACATGGCCTAGCCCAACCAGGTCTCATTTAGGTCAGATCCAGCCCTCATTACAAATGAGCTCGACACCCCTGCCTTAGACTAAGGCCGAAGGTCACAGCTTGAATGGACGGCATGAAGCTCCCTCACCTGCTCTGCCTGCCGCTTGTCCTCTGCCCGACTCAGGATGAAGCCCTCGGCCAGGGACACCGCCTGGGAACTGGTCTCCGGCCCGCATCCTCTAACCCAGCGCTGCATTTCCTTGGGCAGGACGGCCAGGAACTGCTCCAGGATCACCAGGTCCAGGATCTGCTTCTTGGAGCGCCTCTCCGGCTCCAGCCAGCGCTTGCAGAGTCCATGGAGCTGGCTGCAAACCTCTCGGGGCCCGGCAGCCTCCTGGTAGCCGAACTGCCGGAAACGCTGCCGATGCTCCTCTGGGATCCCCGTCTCCTGAGGCAGGACCTCTGGCACCGCTCTCTCCCAGAGTTCAGCACCACTCCCCGCCGGGATGGGAGGGGGGTCTTTCCTTGCTCTCTTGCCAGTTCCTGGTCCTTCTGGGTCCTGCTGTTCCATCTCCTCCCCCTTCTGCTGGGCCACCTCCGCCTGCAAAAAGATCCATTTATTTACTTGGTATAAAGAGGGAGAGGAGCTGCGGTGGCTCAAGTGGTTAAGATGCTGGACTGCAGGCTATGGAAGGTCAGTAGTTCAGCAGTTCGAGAACCAAGTTGCCGCATGACGGAGTGAGCTCCCGTCTCTAGTTCCAGCTCCTGCCAACCTAGCAGTTCGAAAACAAGAAATTGCAAGTAGATAAATAGGTACCACTTCGTTGGGAAGGTAACAGCGTTCCGTGTGCCTTGGTGTTTAGTCATCCCGGCCACATGACCACTGAAATGTCTTCGGAAGCACTGGCTTTTCGGCTTGGAAACGGAGATGAGCACCGCAACCCTAGAGTCGGACTTGACTGGCTTTCGAGCAAGGGAACCTTTATGTTTTATAAAGAGGGAGAGGGGAATATATCAAAAAGGCAGAAAGGAACCTAAAGAAGATGGAGCTACATCACCGACCCTGGTCAGGAAGACACACCCAGGATCGCCTTGCAGAATCGGAAGGAGGGTCCTTGTTGTGGTTTGCGGTTCAGGGTTCATGTCCTTGTGCTAAATTAACTATTGTACATTGGTATGAACTATTGTAGACATCTCCTAAGAAGGTCCACCATAGTATCAAAGTCCTGAAGGCACCCACCCAAGAGATCTTAAGGATGTGAGTTACCTGATCCACTAACCCTTAGATGTAAGCTATCATGAAATTTGGCTGCTGTACCACAAGACTGGAGAATAGCAAGTGTTACACCAATTTGTAAATATGGATCCAGAGGGGAACCAGGAAATTACAGGCCAGTCAGCCTCACATCTGTCCCAGGCATATTTAGTAGAATCTGTAATAAAAGACAGAATTGTTAGGCACACAGGAGGACAAAGCCTGTTGAGGGAAAACCATCACGGCTTCTGCACAGGGGTGTCCTGCCACAACAGAGACTGGACAAAGATAAATTTTTATCCCTCTCTCAAAATACTAGAATTTGAGGGCATCCAATGAAGATGATTGGCAGTAGATTCCGGACAGGCAAAATGAAATGCTTCTATACACAGAGTGTTTAAGTCCCCTCTCCTCTGCTGGGGGGTCTCGGATACCAACTAGCAGCCCCGGCCCCACACTGGCACTGGGTCAGGGTCTTAGGACGGGGCTGCAGTTGATTCCGATTCAGGTAGGCATCATGCCCCCCCCCCCTCCACACACAGACATGCAAAGACCTTTTTCACTTACAGACCCAAT